GCACACACACACACACACACACAATCAGTTTTATGTTTGTCTGTTTTGCTCTTGTTGTCTGTCCCCCCTCTGATCTTTTTCTAAGTATTGTTTTTGCTTACCCAAACTGAGCACCCTTAAGTAGTGCCAAGCAGTCCGTGGTTCCACGTCTGGAGTGCCTACTGCAGTCTTAGGGGGGGCGCTTGGTTCGGGGTGTCTGTGTTGCCTGTGGGTGATGACAGATGCTCGTCGGAGTGTTCTCCCTGGCTCAGTGGGTGGTGGGAACCAACAGTCTGCGGGGTTCAATCGTGATGTGCGTAAGTCATGTGCCGCTTTGCACCGTGTGATGAGTGGACGGGCTCGTCTGCGCTCCGTCGCTGCCCTGCTGCTTGTCCCGTTTGCTTCGGATGTGGTTCTTTGCAGGTTGATGTGTTCGCTCTGTGGCGTGGCCGTGTTGTTGGTGTTGCCTTGCGCTTCTCTGCTCCGCTGCCTTGCTGCCCTTCCGCTGGTCGTGCCTTCTGTGTTTGCTGCTTGCAGGCCTTGTTGGTTGCTTGCCTTGTTGCTGGTGCCTTGTGCTTCACTCCACGGTTGCCGAGCTGCTGGTCTGTGTTTGCTGCAACAACTATTTGTCTGGTCGTTAGTCCAAGGGTTTCTACCTGATGAAATAGCCAACTGTGATCCATACACTTGGTGAGTTGCTGTTAGTGTTCCCCCATAAAGCTAACATCCCTATCGCTAACTATAGTCAAGGTCCTTAACCCAATGCACAAAGAACTTACAACTTACCAAATTTGTCTTGCTTTCAGCTAGCGAGGGAATAAAAGATTCTGCATCCTTGCTGATCTGGTCTACCTTGACCATGACTTCTAATTTCCATTGTTGACTTTAATATCCACAAAGTCTAGACTCTAGAGATATCGATTCTCCAGGTCCCGAGGGGGGGATAGATAGTGGTCTCAGCAGCCCTAAGTGAACTCTTGTTCCTTTGAGACATACTTAACACTCCTGGTCTCAGTAGTCCTATGTGAACTCTTGCTCCTTTGAGACATACTTAACACTCCTGGTCTCAGCAGTCCTAAGTGAACTCTTGCTCCTTTGAGACATACTTAACACTCCTGCATGTACGTAATATTATCAGACTTTATTCCTGGCTATATCTAGGAGCATAATGAGCTAGAATATGTCTTCCTCCAACCAAAACGTCCCTCTAAAACATGGGCTCCCCTAAGATGACGCTCTTGATCTCTTCACTGGAAGGAATACGCAGTTGATTTTGTCCACTGGCTGTGAGGAACAACAATCTATCAGCTATTCTACATTCTGCCCATCCTCCTTTACCTTAGCTATCAACTTACTATAGATGCGATCTAACACATAAGCATCTCTAATCTTCTGGTGCAAGTCCTTATCTATATCCAGGTAAGTAGTAATCAATGCTAATCATTCCAAAGAAAGCTGCTCTTTTGGACAGTGCATCAGCGACAACATTGTACTCTACCTTTACTCGCTTCAACTCAAAGTCAAACCGATCTATCACTCTCTAGCCCATCTCTGCAACTACGTAGACATACGGGCCTGCGTTTTCAACCAGCGTAGCGTCTCATGATCAGAGTAAACTGTAAAACACCTTCCTAATAAATGATGTTGCCAAGTTTGTAGGGCTTCATAGAAAGCATACAACTCTCACTTGTAGGTAGGCAGTCTTTTTTACATTAACTATCTACTGGTCTATGTTTGCCCTTGTCGCCGTGCAGTAGCACAGCCCCTGTCCTATATTGGCTAGCATCCGTAGTCACTGTACATGCTAAGGACGGTTCTGCAATCTTCAATACCGAGTACTCTATTAACGCCTTCTTCGAGTTCTTTGATGAGGAAGTGCAGTCCGTATCCCACAACAACCAAATTGCCTCCTTTCTTACCAATCGATGAAGTGGTGTGGCTATGGTGGTGAAATTCCTAACAACCTGTGTTAATGATTAGCCAGTCCTAGGCATGAGCATAACTCGGTGAGGTTCTTGGGCGTCGTCCAGTCTCTAATTGCTGCAATCTTTTAGGTGTCATTTGGCTGGACTCCATCTCCATCTATAACATGAATGAGGTATAGCACCTGTCTCTTCCCCCACTTACACTTCTTTGGATTCACCTTGAACTTGTTTTCTCTCAACGTTGTCAGGACTTTGCCGCTCTTTATGCTCCTTTAGAGTCTTACAGAAATCGAGGATGTTATCTATAGATAGACAGCCACAATCTATTAAGCAATTCTCTAAACATGTCATTCATACAATGCTGCAAGGTAGCTAGGGCATTAGTCAGACCAAAAGGCATCACATTGAACTCAATAGTGGTCGTATTTCCTCCTAAAAGCTGTCTTGCGCTAGGTCTTAAAGGGCCACTTCGGTGTCATGCTAACCAGACTTGAAATCTATCTTGGGAGAATATTTTCACCCTTGTAACATGTCCAACCATCCGTTTATGAGGGGTAGCGGCCCTGCAAAACCCCTATAGTCTGTACATAATCCCAATTTCCTTCTTTTTTAGAGAGGAGGCAAACTTGGTTTAATCCACCCATTGTGTACAAATTCCCGAATCTGCTTCCTTAGCTCCTCTAGCTCATAAACATCTTATAGATGGGATCCTCGGAAATCTTGTTGCCTGGATCTCTTTCAATATGATGCTTGATTGGTTGTTCGATTATTCTTGTAGGCTACTTTTGCAAATTCTCCTAACATTTTCTGGGCTTCGGGTGGTACTAACGCCCCCTCCGTAGGCTCTCCTTGCTTTGCCTTCTCCGTCTTCTCGGGTGTCACATACGCCACATAGAATTGATTTACTGACTTATTCCTCACTATGTATCTCATGAACACCGGAGCACTCATACATCTCATTTTCTTTTTCCTGGCTGGGCAACCAGCACCCAACACAAGTGGTTAACGGGGACCCCCGCTTTCAGCTCCTGACTAACGGGTCGAAAACTGAAATTAGGGTTTGGGGGTCAAATTTTATGTTTTTGGAGTTTTTTAGGGTGAGGGATAATTGTGCTAAACATTGCTTATTGCTTACTCCAGTTACAGCAAAACATACAGAGCATTCACTGGCAAATTCACAAGCAAACCTGATCTTGTTGTACTTGAAAGAGCAACGCAAGATCTCAAAAGGAAGTATGTGGCGAACCAAAACCACCTTCCTTGTCACAACTGATTACACCAAAAGAACGGGGAAATGTGAGGGAAAAAAAACAACCTCATCTGCTGTGCCAAACTCAGCAAGGCTCTTTTTGTCAGTCGTAGTGATGTTGACGCTAACACTCTCCAATGGTTCTATGACATCCTTAAAGACAATATCCTGGCCTTTCACTGACACTTCCTGAAATGCAGCCCAAAATTCACATACATACATACATCCAGGGAAAAGTGCTGATCAGCATTTCGCCCCAAGGTGACAACAAATTAACCTTGAAGGCTTGAGGCTCGATAAACCTCAAGTTATCAGACGAGCACTACCAAACTTGTTCAGCCATGGACCACAAACTGTTGTCTATCCATGTGATGGCAATATCCAAAACAATCACAAATTTGATTCATATGTGATGATCCTGGTCAACTTATAAGCAAGACTCAACTTTGAGAAAATGCAAAGAGTGTGCAACTCAAAAGGATGTGGAAATAAACACAGAGGAAGAGAATGGAGAAGGAACGAAGAAGAATAAACACACACACAAAATTGAGCCCATGTCATCTCCTCCTCTTGTCAACCATAATGTCCCTCACCATCTCCTCCCCTTATCAACAAAATATATTCGCATTGCAGGAATGATATACTCATGACTCTCGGCCTCCAGTACCTCTACCGCTGGGCACTTCAGCCTCTCGATGTACTGGGCCCTACTGAAAGTTCCTGCCTTGTGAAGGGAACACCATTGCGGTCCGCAATCCACTTCCAAGGCATGAAACTAGCCTGGTATCTACCTACATTCAGGCCCGGGACCATCATGACCTCTTTGGCAGCTACCGAGACTTTCGAGCCCCACCGGAGTTGCTGGAAATCCTACCGGGTCCCTGCCAAATTCTACTTTTCTCCTTGTCTGTCCTAGACATTCTTCTAAGTCCGTTCGACGTCTAATTTCTGTCCTAACCCTGTTGCTATCTCTATTGACTGTTCTACCCCTCAGAACGCAAAAAGTACAGCCCGAGAACCGAGTTAGCTCACAGGCACAACAAACATCAGATGCAGTCTTGGTCACACAGGGAATACAGAAAAAACACACTAAAACTTAGAATCCTTCAGCAAATCAGACCAACAGACGACAATACTCCGAAAACTGGCAGGAATCTCAAACTGCAAGTGTGTGGGCAACTGCACTCAGACCGGCCAAGATGCAAGGTCCCTTTTAGCTAGAGAGAACCTAGGGATGCAGACAAAATGCGTCATAGGCACAAAATGTGCACAATGTAAGCGAACATCCACGTGTGTGTTGTAATGGTGTGCTAGTCCATGTTCGTAACTTTGTACGCACTGAGAATATGGGGTGCACTCAGTAGGTCAAGAGATCCAATATAGATCATTGCATGGATGATACAGAAAATGCACTAGATATTCATGTTTACACCCCTTACCCCTGTGCTCATAGACATGATCCACCTTAAAGCAACCACTGATTAGGTGGGGAATTATAGAGCATCTGCTGGGAAAGTCATCGGAAGTAGTTCAAGAATGAAGTTTGGAAGCATTAAACACTGGATACACACATAGCTATGGACGTATATATCCACGACGTTGGAGGGTACAATGCTTATGTCCTAGGACCTTGAGGATGGCCCGGGGTCCAAAGTTTATGTGACGCTTTCCTCATCGGAGAACTTACACATCTTGACCCAGACATAGTCGCCTTCTTGGCATGTAACACGTCTATGCAGCTCATTCGTGTGCTTGAGCATCACATCTTGTTGTTGCGAATATCTGACTGTGTGAGGAAACAACTACTAACTCTTCATCCCACAACTACCATCTTCACCCGAATAGAACGCCCGGTCATTATAGCTGTATTCGGGGCTACTTTCAGTCCAGATGCAGCCATAATGACCGGGCATTCTATTCGGGTGAAGACGGTAGGCATGCTACAGGTCAGATGGAATTGTCGTACAGACTCCCAGCAACTAGCGAATTGATGTCCCGATTGTTCTCGTTGTGAAAAATGAGAGATCGAAGTAGTTGAGTTGCTGTCTGGTTCATTTCCTTGCTTGCCCATTAGTCCGCAGATGGCAACCTAAGGTTATGGACAGTTCTGCTTCATAGAGGTTGGTAGTGAAGGATTTTCACTACGAGCTAGTGAAGCACATGTCCTTGTCACGAAGGGGCCCTCAATCAGGGATACAGCATTTTCCAAATTCATTGCAGACCAGGTCCGCCGGTGCTTGTGGCGGTAAGGGGATCACTGTAACCAACTTCAAAAATTTGTCAAGACAGACCGTGATCTGTGAAGGAAAAAAAAACTCTAACTAACGTTGCAAAATTGCAAATATATTATTAGTAAAGTCAATGGAGACAGACTCACCACGCCCTTCAAGAAGTAGGGAGGGGTTTCAGCGAAACCAAGGGGTTGCTGCGAATAAATCGTGTCTTGTCACATTGGCAGGCTTCACAAGTTTCATGCGAAGCCAATAAAAAATTCTGCAACAAACTTCCATGTTTTAAGGAATCCAAAGTGACTGCTATTATCGTAACATTCGCTGAAAATTTGTGAACGAACTGCCTCACAATCAGGCACACAAAGTCGATCACATTCTGCATGTAAGCAGAACAACGAACTTCCATGGTACCGAAATCGGACTGGCTACCTGGGTCAGCCAACAACTGCGTGAAGATAGGACCGAAATTAGGATCGGTTGGAGTTTTTGTCGTGACCGATCATTGTATTCATTGATTGTTATTGAAGATTTCCTACTCGCCCCCACTTCTTCTCCACTTTTGTCTATTTTCCCCGTTACTTAGTGGCTTCAATTTGCGACTAGATTTTGTGTGTGTGTGTGTGTGTGTGTGTGTGTGTGTGTGTGTGTGTGTGTGTGTGTGTGTGTGTGATGATGGCATGGATGGCGCTGGCATTCTGAGCTTCTTGAGAATATACGTTCATTGCAAATCCGACATCTTGGAAATAGATTACCATCTGCGAGTGAAATGATACCCAATTCTCCGTATGATGCTTCTTAGCTGGCATAATGTTCTTGTTTAAGATTTTTTTTTTTTTTTTTTTAACATAAAACAGGTCCTTATGGCCCTGGTTCCATTTCCATTCTGGGGAGCATCAGTCCGGTTCCTATTCCACCAGCAAGTCCGAACAAAGTATTACATCATGAGACACACGCAACGCTTCCTTCCGTCTGGCCGAAGGAACCCTGACCAGCATTGATTGCTCCAGCATCGTGGAGGATTGACAGTCAGCTTGCCTTACTTGCACCTTTCCTCTCAGGTCCACTGTATGAACCTGTCAGATAAATAATAAAGAGCAAGCAAGGTAAAAGAAGCTTCGGAAGATGACTCGCAAAATTTGCCCTTCAATATTATGTGGCCTGTGATGGATCTTGACATCTTGTCCGTCCGCTGGCTGGGGTCTCTGCCTCCTCCACCCTCCTTCTGAGTTGTGCCAGTCTTTCCACCGTATGCAAGCATCTTTTATCTCTGCTACTTTGCCTCCTGCAAGCCACACCTTAGTGAATTTTGCCTTGATGCTTCTCTGTTGCTCCTCGTCATCTGGCATAGAGTGTCTCATCTTGTGCCACTTAAAGAATCTCTGCCTGAATCAAGGTCCTTGTCTCCGCCCATACCTTCTCCCTTAGAGTTGAGATTCCCTCAACAGTTCTGCAGCACCTTTCCTTTCCAGATGGCCCACATCATTACCTTTCTGATCATTCCGAACCACATTTTCTCTGTCTTGTGGTCTTGCTTAGGAATTGTGAGATACCGGAATATTCAATCTGGTAACCTGCGACTAAATCTTCTTCAGCTTCCGGTACATCAAATGGTAAGCTTTCACATTCTGCTGGGCTAAAAAAAATGTAGTAGAACTAACTGGTTGACCTCATACAACCCTGCTTCAAATACCGTTTTTACACGTAATAGACTAATAGTACTGAAAGTGTCGCATAATTATAGTTGATAAAAGATATAATCTTGATCTGTGCTTGATAACTGCATATTGAGCTTTCAGTTTTACCTCATTTGGCTCCTTCATAACTGGAGATCTATGAAATAAAAATGGAAGTAATCTCTATGAAATTGAAATGGAAGTAATCATACCTACACACATACACACATCCATCCATCCATTGATCCATCCGTCCATCCATCCATCTGTACGTGGTGATAGATGGACGAACATTTACAACCAGAACAGACACATGCACACACACACACACACACACACACACACACACACACACAGAGAGAGAGCTGTCTCTTATACACATCTAGATGTGTATAAGAGACAGCTCCTCCTCTTACCTGCCATCCAAAGGGGTACAAGAACCTATATCCATCCCTGGTATCCTCCACTGCTGAGAAGCCCTTTGGTAAACCTGCAAAAGGGCATTGTACACGACATACATGTATATTGTCACATAGCATGAGCCAGGAGCCCATTCATGAAACAAATGTCGAAAAGTGCCAGAGGACAGAAAGCAAGGAGGGGAAGACACCAGAACCTTTTTTCTTTTTTCCTGTCTTCTTCCCTGGGTTGCTTTTCCGGGCTCCCGGGCACCCAACTTATGCCCGGGTACACCCCCGGGTGCCCGGCTGGGCAAGACCCCTGGGCAGGGTTCCGGGTAGACCCAGCGCCCAAAAAAAAAAAAAAAAAAAAAAACGGAAATCAAAAATGTTGTGTAGAATTGCAATACAAACGACTTTTCGCTGAGGGTCAAAGCTAGGAGTTGCTAATTGATTGTGAGGCTGTGAGTTGTGGATGTAGTCATCATCTATGTCATCATCAGCTGATTTACTAATCTCCATCATCTTTAGTATCATCATCATTAGTATCATTATTTCACAGTTTTCATAGAATCAGCAGAAGTTTGTCATCATCATCGTCATCAGCATTACATGCATCATCATATGAGGGACGCTGAGCCCGGTTCTCGGCAGGTTCAGTTCAGTCACTCCGGGTAGACTGTGAGGACCCCGGCCTGCAATCAGACTCGTTCTCGTTCACACTTTTCATGCATGTAAACAGCAGCACAGTAGACTGGCGACATGCGCCCAAACAAAACTCAGAGATATGGCTTCCAGGCACGAGTTCACTTTCAATTGGCTATGGCGACTCAGCGCCCAACAACTCACTGTTCACACACACTGGATCACCCTGGATATCCCACACACGTCACTCTGAACACTCACACRCACACRCACACTCTTCCCACTCACTACAGCTATGRCAGCTATGGCTGCCTCTACCCTATCGCTATGCTAACTCCTCTCTTGCCCACTGCGTCCTCCGGGCTCACTGCAGACCTCCTTGCACAAGTCGCTGTGGCAGCGCTTCCGCATGGCTCACGCAGGAATCAATGAAAGGCTGGGCGCTGCCTCTTGATTTATACTTCTGCAGGTCGTTGGTCTGGCCCATTTCCCTGGCCCGAAGTGCACACAGTCCCGTGCGGTACTTGCTTGACTGACTGGGGACTGGGACTGTTGACTCAGCAGGGTAGACTTCCCCCACTTGCCCACTTGCCTCACCACTTGACCACTTGCCTCTGCTTAAACGTGGGCAACTCACGAAAGGCCACTACYGGGACCTTCCGGAAGGCCGTAGACTTGGCCTTTCGTGACTGTAGCAGCTACGACTCTGACCCTTCTGGACTGTAGCAGCTACAACCTTGACCTTTCGAGAACACTACAGCTACGRTGTCTAGACCTGACTAAGACTCCTATCCGACAGGTCTACAGATCGAACCCATGCTACCTATGGACCCTACGACAACCTATCAGCTATTACAAATACACAGGTCGCGGGTTCAATTCTACRGGTCAACACAGGTACTGTACACAGGTAAGGTTGGGGTCTAGGGATCGAACCCTGGGATCTGCAGCAGCTACTGCTAACTGGTGAATACCGTTTCACTCCCGCCGTCCTAAATTCGAGGTCCTCCGAGAATAATTCAGTCCAAGGCAGGACCTTTACCTTTCTGTTCTCTCTCGTAGGCTCTAACTATATCGAGAGCTGTCTCTAGAAGTTCTGACCTCGTAAACCATCGGTCATCCTCCGGTTCCTGATATGCAAAGCGGACCTTGTACTGTTTCTGTGGACGACCTCTACCTCCTGTTCTGAACACATCCTCGTCTACAATGCCCTCTATGTCATAGCTCCCATCCATATCCGGAGGGATCATGGATCTTCTAGAAGGGAACTGTTGGCTTGTAACACATGGCAACA